TATCAAATTTTTTAAATACTATAATATGTATATTAATACTCCATTATATAATATATACTATCACATTATAAATTATGTATTAATCCTTATTAAATTATATTATACGATAAAATGAAGACAATAAGAGAGAGAATTCTAAGAAGTTTCTAGAGAAGTTTCTAGAGAGTTAGAGAAGACTCTAAGTTGAACAAGAGAAATCTTGAGTCCTTGGAAAATTTTTTCTATATATAAATACATAAATGATTTTATAGTACCAATAAAACCAAAATTTTAAAGACCATTTGAATGAAACATATTAAATATGAGATGTGTGCTTATAAAATATTAATGCACGGCTAAATCTAAATGTTAAATTTAAATAATTATACGCTGCATCGCACTAAATGCTTCATTTTTATTGTGGATGAGTGTAAGTTTGGTCTCAGGCCGTCAGGGGCACGTTCAAAAATATGAGAGGGAACGACCCATCATGAAAATTTAGATTATATTTAAAAATACAATATATCTATCACAAAATAAATTATAGAATACGACTACTTGAAAAAATCGATATTACAAGGACTTTTGAATGTAACAATATTTTGTAATAAATTATAAGTTGTCATTTTAATGATTAAATTATAATTATATGTTCATTCAATGCTGATTCAATTACTAAAAATATAAATATTTCAATAAAGATTCACTGGCTATAATTAATAATTTGTAATACTACGAGTAAGTGTGCACGTGTTTTTTTGAAAGGGCTAAGCACTAATTTCTAATGAATAATAAGAAATCATTAATGTGTAATTTCTATTTCTAATTATTATTGTATTTTAACTGATGGATCGACCCTTCATACATCGTACTCGCCAACGCATTTTGTGTCGAGTATGTGTACCGTACATTAATACAACTGTCGGGATTCTGTGTTAAGAACTCTTAACCAATGTGAGTAGGTACAATCCCCATAAGCATATTCAATGAAGCCTCCAGCCAGAAACGAAAAGGAGAATTCTTTGGAAGTGCCGAAATGTCAAAAAGCTTGCAGATATAAAGACATGCGAAACTTTATCTCCTACATCAATAAAGAAACAAACTTTTCTCCAAATGCTTGTGTGTAAGCTCTTGAGAGTCTAACGACAGAACCGACATTTTTACCGTTAATTTATTTTATTCCTAATTTGTTGCTCGCTACGCGCTATGATTTCAATTTGTCTATTAACGCATTAGACTGCGCATAGCCTTGCTCGTGGTTAATCCAAGAGATACAATTGTTTTTTACAATCCTTTTATTAGAAACTCGTAGCATTATTAGATGGCATCCAGTATCGTCAGAAGTTATCGTACTTCCGACAATAATACAATTTATTAAACATATGTAAATACTGCTACTGTACGTACAAAAAATTTCGAAACGCACGACGTAAGATTATTACAAACACACATAAGATAATATATGATATAGCAACACTTTAACGAGAATATATACATAATACATGTTCACTCCAAATTATTCTAACGTAAAGTACCCGACATGTATCTGTCTCCAAGTGTAAGTCTTGCTTTTATAACACTGTATTAAACGTTACATCTTTTCATTACACATATAAAATTAAACGTGTCTACAGTCTTTCACATATATATATATATAATATGTATATAAAATGATAATTTTTTAAATAAGCACTTTTTTATATTAATTGATTCATCTCATTCTGTTCTAAAAGTATTAAGGTACGATTATAAAAAAATTAATAGTTTACAAAAAATATTTGATACTTCACGTATAAAGTATAAATATGTATCTTGTAAATTTATTTTTTATGTCTCTTAATACTTTTACATATGTGCAGAATAATTACAGAAATCATATTACGTAAAAAATACTATATAATTTCATTTTATAGTTTTCAGTCAAAAAACTGAAGATCATGAAATCTTAGAGATTTGTAGTGAATCTGTCACCTAAAGAGAATCTGTAACCATCAAAAGATGTCTCCCTCGTAACAAAATTCCATTTGAAACATTTTTTGGAATAACGAATTGTTTGAGAGATAATTGCATTCGAAGCTTTAAATGGGACACATACAGGGTGTATATACAGGATGTTCCGTAAATACCGTAACAACGTTTAAAGATAGATTTTTGAGATTGATCATTGAGATGAGATCATTTTGAAACAAAAAGTTTAATATCAAATGTTGAGACTATAATAGTTTTTGGATTATAAACATTTAAAGTTTATAATCCTAGCGAATCATATTACTTACAGTTCGCGTGCTCAAGTGCGGCACAACGCTAAGGGCGAACGCTGCAGCGAACAAGCTGACATTATGTGTTGTCATTCTGATAACAAAATGACGTTTTTAATTTTGATGTCAAAATTACGGTAGGCTTATTTGCTGAGCGATTTGTCGTTTCTCTTATTAATGTCGATATAAGGATTACACATGCGAATATTATTTTGAAGAAGATTGTTTTTGACATTTCTGCAAACGCATCGTGCAATCACATTTCTTTCAGAAATCTGTAATCAATTTCATATCTTACAAGTTGTAAGATATGAAATTGATAGCAGATTTCTGATAGAAATATTATCTGATGCTTCATGTAAAAATAAAAAATGTTATTATAAAAAAGAAAATGTTGCACAATCGTTTGCAGAAATATCAATAAAAACACTCTTATATACACTCTTATATCGATATTAACAAGAGAGGCGACAAATTAACGTTCGTTTTTTTTAACAGTTTGTATTAATATAATCAGTTCTATTTTCGCCAATTACGTTGTAGCTAACCCGCATTCGCTGCATCATGATTGGCTAAAATAGAACCGACAACCGGCAACCGTAATCGGCAACCTGTAGTGTGATTACGGCTTTACGCTGCATCTGAGCGCGCGAACTTGAGGCGGTATGATTCACTAATTTTAAATGCTTAGAATTAAAAACCTATTATAGTCTTAACATTTTAGTAATTAAGACCTTTTTGCCTCAAAATAATCTCAGGAATCTATTCTTAAGTTTATTTACAGTTTTTATGAGACACCTTGTGTGTGTGTGTGTGTGTGTGTGTGTGTGTGTAATGTATACACACACACACACAATATATTCTATTAATATATCAGATTAATAGAATTATATTGACATAAAACAAATCAAATTCTAGAAACAATTATGTTTAGAATTAAATGTGCAATGAGAGTATGAACCAAACCTAAAATCAATATACAAATTTAGTTAGAAAATCAATAATGACAAAAAACAAAAAAATTTTTTACGTATTTAATAGTACTAATCTATATATAAACAAATTTTTTATTTCAAAATAGATAAGATGTTTCCAATAAATTTTTGGATTCTGAAAACGATATCGCCAAATTTCGCTAGCATGTCAGATTTTCGAAATAATACAATAAAAAGTACAATAAATATTAAAATTCATTATGTGAAAACATTACACTATGTATATGTGTATCGATAACTCCAACTTATAAATATGTATGTACGTATATCTTCATTATTACAGGCAAGAAATATGCTGTCTTATTGCTAATAAATCTCTATATTTAAATCTTCTGTATAAAAATTACCAGAATATTGTAAAAAGTAAATATTTAAAAAATACATTTTAAAAGCCGAACAAAATATTTATTGCTTTTGATCAGAATTTTAATATAAAGTTAATTATCTTTATAAAAAAAATTGTTAAATACAAAAATCATTTTTAACGCAATTTAAGCTTCACTTATTTCAGAAACATTATCAGATCAAATTTGAAAATGTGATTTTTGCAACATTGTTTTCAGCAAAAATATACAAGAAACAGCTGGTTCAAAATAATTTTCGAATGTAAATTAATCGCTTCGCAATGCTATATACAGTGTTATAAGTGTCTTTAAAACTTCCCTAAATATTAAAATTATTGTACATTCTTAAACACTCATTACTTCTATTTCATGGCACGTCAATTAAATCAATATAAATTTTTCCAATCATAAAGAATGTTTCAAAAGTAAAAATACTTCATCATTATAGAATTGATTTGGCAAGATTTTTATTTTTCATATCAAAATATACAAAATAGAAAATGTTAGTTTTTCATTGTTTATAAATAATAAAAAAACATCATCTCCCTTTGTTGCTATTAGAAATTAATATTCAAATTATTGCAAAAAGTAGATAGTGTGTAATGTAAATGCATTTCTACTAAAATTTTTAGTTGTTTATATTTGTCAATGCATTATTAGTAGAATATTTTTTTTAAATCTTGATCTGTACTATTTTTCAATTATTCTCTATATTTTCTTCTTTACAAAGGGTATCTTACAAGGATATATTTTAGTATTTTTTATCTGAAATATATCTTTCCTTAATATACAATCGACGACAATCTGTAGTTCGACGAGATATCTTAACTTTCGATATTAACATGTTCGCTGCCATGATCATTAAATAAAATTAAAGTATTCATGCAAAGTATTCATAACAAATGTATTCGTCTTTCTAATACAAAATTATAATTAAAAAATAAAAATATAATCAATGTATTAAAGTAAAAAGTGTAATCTCTTAAATCATGTATCAAAGTAAAGTGTAATCTTAAAAATACATCGGAGTGAATTAGAAGATATTATTTGTTCAACGAGATTTTCAAGGAACTTTAATCGGTGATGTGATGCACTATGTTGAAACAACGCAAACAAAAGTGAGGTTTGCCAATGCAGTCGTTACAAAACGTTGTTACTTCAACGGGCTTATGGTTTTTTAATACTGTAATTTTCTTCTCGACACATCTCTTACAGGGTTTCCTTACTTGCCTAGCTAGTCCCTTCTTTCTTTGGATCTTATGACGTGATATGTTCCGTGTTACAGGACTTGAAGATCTATCAGGAGGCTCGTCTTCGAGACAGTAGGTATTTAGGTAGGAGGATCTAGTAGGTAGACATCTACTCAGGTAGATTGCCAATTCTTTTAGTGATTCTACAACAGACATACGATTTTGTACCATTATACTATGTGTATAATAATTTAGAATGTTATAATGTAATAATTTGGAAACTAGATTTTTGTACAATTTAACTAGACTGAAATACTGTCGTTTGGCCCATGTTAAGATAGAATTTCTGTCGATTATAATGATTGTAATAATTTTTAGCTTAGCACATAAATGCTTATGCCTAATTCATTTATCTTTTTCTTTTTTTTTTCTTAAACGTAATCTCGTTTATCAACTACAACGAAGGGTACATCTCGCTTGTTCTTTCATTTTCAAATACTAAAATATGTTATCAACGTATATTACGATATCGTAATGCAGTTGTTATATTGTCGATGCGAAATTTGTTTGACAGCGAACATATCAAATACTTTAAAAATTAAGCTCGTTCTAAACTTGAAATTATTCAGGGAATATGTCCCCGTTATTTGCACTCTGTTGAAATTTAGTTATATTTTAGATCGTTTAACTTTCGTCTTTAAGTACTTAAGCCTCTTATAATATATTTGTTGACAAATATTAAGCTATATAAACACAAGAAATCTTTGTAAACTACCTTCTCGCGAGATATTCCGCGTAACGATTAACTTCGCGTAAAATCATCGCAAGAAAACCGGTGGAAGAACCCGAAAAAGAAGCCTGAGGAGGAAAGAGTCATCACTTTTGAAAGTTTGATTGGACGTCGAACACACTGAATGTGTGCTGACGTTTGTGGATGCGCAGCAAGTGTGCCTTCATGTCGTAACTTCGACTGAAGATGCGCTGGCAAATCGGGCACCTGGTCTGGCCCGTGTGCAAGTCCTTGTGCAGTGTCAACGACATGGGGTGCTTGAAACCCTTCCAACAAATTCTACAGCGAAACAAGAGGCCGTCCGCCGCAGCGCCGGACTGACCGTAATCGTCATCCGGGACGAGCTCGGCGACGCCGTCGTCGTCGTCGCCATCCGCGGCATGTTCTACAAAGAAAACAACAAACACACAACGTCACCACGCATTGTTAGCTACACAACGCCGGCGAATGTAAAACACGCGCGCGTTTTTTCCCAGTCGAAGCCGAATTTCGAGGACTAATGGTAGCATCCCCATCGCGTGTCGTTCCATCCCCTCTCGGAGAAGCTAGATTCTAATACCCATCCCGTGAAAAACTGCGTGGCTAATCGTCAGAGAGAATTTCAACGTCGTCAAAGACTGCTTCAAAGATTTGGAAGCACTTCTTGGCAAAATTCGCAAAGTAAATGAACTATGCTATCAGATGCTGATTCTTTGAGATCATCATTTAGAATTATATAATTTTGTATTGCATTTTCTATAAAAAAATGAATGTAATTTAGAAGTTTTTTCAATCTTTATGTACAGTTTATTTTTAAAAGAATGATACTTCTTCCCTCATTTTATATGAAATCATATTATTATCGTATATTAAATAATATTTTCAAATTGTATATTCATAAATAAAATAAAATTATACAATTCTCATTGATACAAATACATACCATTTACATTATTACAATATTTTACAGATGCTTACTGCAATGAAAAAATATCTTGCGTATAATCTATGGAACATAATTTTTACGTAAGAAGACGCAAAATGAAATGAAATAAAAAGGAAATATGAGATAGAAAGTGCTTCCAAATATTTGCAAGGCGACGATATCACGTCTCCTTCCGTCAGTTCCTGGCGTCTTTTTCCTATGACGTGCGTGATAAGCGCAAGCTAAGTAGAGCAAGCCTAATCAGATCAGACAGAGGAAACAGAAGACACACGACACCATTGAAGAGAGATTCAGAAGCTCGTTAAGCCCCCAGGCGTTCGAAAATATCTATAGAGAAGGATTCGTTTCTCGTGTTTTTATCATAAAAAAAAAAGTTTAACATAGTTCTTAAGAAAAGCATAGAGGTTCTTAAAGAATAGTCGTGTAATATTTTTTATTAACACGTTACGCCTCGTATATCTCGGCTGTGTATTTTACTCCAATTATTATTTCGTTTCCTAGAGAAAACGTCATTGTCTTTGCGCAAATTTTTTTAAATTGAATTAAAAGTTTTTAATTAAATTTTAACTTAAATATAAAAAAAATTAATTTCTCTAAAAAAAAACTTTCCATTATTTGCTGTAAAATTACAAAAAATTTCATATTTATTACAGATATGCATATATTAAATGAAGTAAAACTTTACCTCAAATATTATATTTTGTAATAACTAATATTTGGAATTTTTTAATAAAATAGAAAAAAAAACATTTAAACGAAAAGATACTTGATTTTGTTCATTTTTTTTCAACAGCGTGTAAACGATGAAAATGATGTATGAATATTTTAATATTAATCAGTCCACAGTTACTTATTGCGAAGTTTGCGATATAATACTGCAATACGTGATCTGTCTTACAGTTAAATCTGCAACGCTAGCACGAGAATCCAAACAATCTTACTTCGCAGAGTAGCTGAACTTAATCTTACTAGGAGATCCTCGGAACTGTGCAGAGAGCGGATAATGCACCAGATTAATTTGGGTGACAGTTACGTTTGTTATATACCGTATGCTTATATATCTTGTTATATACTGAGTTTCTTGAAACTATCTTACAAGTGTAACGAATTAAATTGTGACAGCTACCTTAATTTGTCTAACGGATAGGAAATTGCTATTCTTTGTACTTAACATTTTCTTAACAAATCGGTTACATCTGAATCTTCACGGATATTCTATACGAGATCGTAGGTAGATCCTGGATATATCTACGCGGTAAATCTAGCTGATAAAATCGACGTCAATACATTATATCGATAAGGCTCTATATATTGTATATATTAATAAGTCTTACGGAAAGAGTCGAAATTAAATTGGCTTTATTTTATCGTAAGCTGTAACCTCGTACTTTGCATTAAATTTGTATTCCAAATAGCGTCTTGATGTTAATATATTTACAACAGCGATGATCTTTATTAAATGCTCGTGAAATAAAATGTGCATTTATTAAGATGTCTTAGTTTATTCTTTTACATATGTATCTATATATAATTCTTCAAATAAACAGATTTTTTAAACAAAATTTTCAAATAAACGTCAAATTAATTTCGACTACACTCTTGAGCGAAGAATCAAACAGTTATCTCGTGTACTTCGTAGCATCATAATGAGTATTTTTTAAAAATTATACTATCATTGTGTGATCGCAATCAACTAGTCGATAAAGCATATAATATATAATTCTTCAAATAAACAGATTTTTTAAACAAAATTTTCAAATAAACGTCAAATTAATTTCGACTACACTCTTGAGCGAAGAATGAAACAGTTATCTCGTGTACTTCGTAGCATCATACTGAGTATTTTTTAAAAATTATACTATCATTGTGTGATCGCAATCAACTAGTCGATAAAGCATATAATATAAATAACAGTATACATTATTAACACGCACAAAATGTGTATGAAATGTCACGTAATCAATATGCACACAATGTTTTATCGCCGTATAGATAGCACTTTAGTACATAGTATTACATATACAACCGTCGCAAGTTATAAATACTAGTTTGGCATAAATATTTTGTATAGAGTACACGTTGCCTAATGCCTAATGTCCGTTTCTATCAATGTAGATTAACTTTAATCTCAGTTTAATCATTTATCCTCTTTTAGTTCTAAGAATTAGAAAAGGATAAAGAGTAAATTAAAGATTAAAGTTAATCTACATTGATAGATAGGTCTAAGTGAGGTACTAAGAGCCAAAGCAAAGGGAGAACTCAAAGAAAGATGTTGATGAATTCTAGCCTTAAAGAAGAAAAATATCGTCATGATATAAAGAGATCTAACAAAAAAATATTTGTGACATAATCAACACGTGTTTTTCTTACTGTAATAAATATTTTTGACTACAAAAAAATTCAGAAGTCAACGATACTCTAACGATATTTCCAGCCGAGACAAAACAAATTTTTGACAAAACATATGCTATCACTGCGAAATCACATCCTGCTAAACACAGGTCAATTCAGTAACTCGATCCTATACGAAACTATATCTTGGAAAGTACTCGCCTTCAAAGAATACACAGAAGAGGCTCGCGTATATCGCGTCATACAGGCTGATCAAGCGCTCTCTCTCTTTCTCTCTCTCTCTCTCTCTCTCTCTCTTCCTTTCTCTCTCTTTCTCTTTCAGTGTGTGGACCTATTTCAAAGGTGTCCTCTCATACCGATTTCCACTTGCGGCCCGTACGATCGGTCCGATCGCGGAGCGGATGGAAGTTAGTCTTTTTTCGCTGCCGACGGGGCGCTAAGACAGGGTTGGTGCTAGGGGGGTGGGATGTGCGGGATCGAGCGTATTTTGTGATAGTCGACGAAGCATGGCCAGCGGCACAAACAGGCATTGCAGGGCCAGCATTTGAAGCGGGTCTGCCTGAGCTTGCCGCGTGACGTTACCATGCCGCGCTGCTTGCAGTGCACGCACACTTTCCCGTGGCCGTTCGCTTTGCTGAGGCTATGCGGCTGACCAGATACGTACGTAAACCCTCCTGAAGAGAAACACAGTGTGGCCAACAACAACAACAACAAACACAATGCTCGGTTGAGCTGTGTTGAGGGGGTTAGTCAATTTTCTTAAGTAGTAGGCGCGGTAGGGGCATGCAGGCAATCATTAGTTATATAGTTATACAATAATGAAAAAAAATTAAAGACACCTCTCCGCATATCATAATAAACCGTGACGGTATCAGCAGCAACAGCATCAGCAGCAGCACCACCAATCCCCAGCACCAACCACAACAATCCCATAATCGCAGCAGCGGTAGTCGCTAGAAAACCGTCTCTACAGAGTGCGTGTCTCATCGGCGATCTGATATACCATCGAACGCGCCTTTCTCATCGCGATCATTGTTGTTACTTCGCGCGAATTATAACGCGTTCGCGCATATGGTGGCATCGCCACGTGCTAGATTTCAATGCGCAGGCTTCTGTATTATCCCCGTGCACCTTTTAGGAAAAGAACTCACACGAGGTTTTTTTTTGCGTCCCCTATACGTCGATACCCTATACATCGACTAGCGATTCTGAATTTCTCGAGACAGTTCGTTGGATAGAGCGATATCAGTTCTCCTTCGATTAATGCAAGGACACGTGGACGCACAAAAATTAGCGCTTCCGAGTCATCTCTGTAAACTTTGTTCCCTCGAATAATCTTTCAGTTTTTTCAGATTTATCGTCAAAATTGTTGTACAAAGGTGGAAATAATCATAAAATAATTTAGATCGTCTTTTCTGTCGATCAAGTGGTCTATCTAATTTTATTGTTTGTCGCAGGAGCTTCCGAAGAAGACTGCCTTCTCTCTGCCTATCGGCCATCAGAACAAAACCTTTTGTGGTTCAAAGAGGGAAATGTCTCTTTCGTGCGATCGATGACGCTGAAACGAGAACGCTGATTGCACGTAATTGCTTAGAACGCTGATTGCACGTAATTGCTTAGGATGCTCGCGTATCCAGCCTCCCGTGTTTCTTGACGGTGGGCTTCGTCGACCTCCTGCTGCGCAATTTGCGAGAGATCGATATTCCGACGAGATCCGTTTTTGTCGCGAACAAAAAGACGGCCTTATCGCAGGTTCATTGTTGTCGTCTTGTGGCAGGATGAGTTACGAATTGGCTCACTAAATGCTCTTCTAAATGCGAAACGCAAACTTCCACACAAGCACTCATCGTTCTCGATACGTTCGTTTTAATTTCTCTTCAATTTGGATCGTGACCTCGACAATATATGCAAATCTACAACGACAGCCACAGAACTATCGGCGAGACACTCGCGTGTCGACGAAACAATTTTCAAGAACAATTCAATATCTTGGAAATAAAGAAATAACAAAAATCACTTGGAAGTAAGAAACTATGTGATCAACCATAGGACATCAGTTCTCCTACTCCCAAGCTGTAATTGTCCTAAAACTGTTATAATCAATTTCGATCTATTTATCCAATGGCTATTTATCTGTTTCTATCTCTTCGCAAGATAAAGATAAGTGGACCTAATGTACCTTATGACTTAGATATGGTGATAGATATCGGAAATTTATTCTTTTTAATATCAAGTCATATTGGTTGACTAAATATTCCATATCCAAGGTATCGTATTGTTCGATTATACGGTCCGCAGCTTTATGCTCGTAGATAGATTCACAATCGAGATTCAGTAGGCGAAAAAGACCACGTAACGAATCGACTTCGAAGCGAAACGCAACGAGTCATATTACGCGGAGACGTTAACGACGTTTTACGTAATAACATTAGTACTTGAAAAGAAGGAACAAGCTTTTTGATGTCATCGTGACTACTAAAAGAACTCATGCTTCTGCTTTAGCGATCGTTGCTAAGATTTTGTATTACCTACCTGCCGAAACACTTATTTCTTTTTTTTCTTTTATCTTTCTTTTTAATCTTTCTCCGGTCATATGTACTTGTAACCAAAGAATTTCGGGTCGGGTCAAGATACGTTTACAATCTCCAGGCTCATGAGATTCTCGAGGAAAATATGTGTCGATAGTCTTCCAAAATCCGTCATTGCTTTCGATTTGTGCATTTCGTTTTCGTTTTATTTTAATTCGAATATATGTATAGATACGATTAATTGATAATGAGCTTAAACTGTTGCATAAAGTGAGAAAGTATAATAATGTAAATATAAAATACGAAGATAATTAATTCTCTTTTTACGTGTTTAATATGTATTTTATCAATAAAATGCAGGGTTGGCAAAAACCCAGTTTTTCCAGAAAAACCCAATTTTTTGGGGTTTTTGTGAATTTTTGTTCTAGGCACAGTATAACCAGTAGGGGCACTCCGTGTTGGCACCTTTCATCTCCACGTCGCAATCACGTGAGCATCTGCCATCTGTGCGTGCATCTATGTACGTTTCTGTATCTTGCATTTCATTGGATCCGGCCCAAAACAAAAGCTGCGCAGCCATCTCTACGCGAACACGCATTTTTTCGCTGAGTGCCCCTACTGGTTATACTGTGGTTCTAATACAGCCATTTATTATTTATTGTTTTAAAAGCGTATCTGTTCGACAAAAACATAACCTCAAAAAGTCGTCTCAAACAGATACTACCAGGCTTTAGAACTAGGATTTTATTTATTAATATCATTTACGTGATTACAGCGCGTATTCATAGTGAATCAGTGATATATGTAATCGGTAAGACTGAGTAAGACAGATTTCCTAACCTAACTTCAATAGTCGTCAATTTTAACGTTTAATATCTCGGTTGGCGGGGCAGAGCGACACTTTTTTCTGCCAGATTTTTTCGTTTCCAATTTTTTTTAAATTTTAGCTAGTCTAGCTAGTTTAGCTTCTTACATCCTAGTCTACCGTATTACTATTACAATTATTGAGTGCAATATTATATATATTTTTGTAGACGGATATAGTCAGTTATATGTATTATATAACTTATATATGTAATATGAGTTTAATAAATTGATAATCAAGTATGATAAATGTTATTTTTATTGAGTGGTTTTGTTTAAAAAATTAAAAATGCAAAGGTATATTAATAAAACACAATAAAATTTGATGCACGCACGCACACACAGGGTGTTTGATAATTCTGCCGACAACGCTTGTGAATAGATAGAGCGGACTAAAGTCGAAAAGTCCTCTACCATTTTGCAATTCTCGCAATAGTTAACAAGATATTAATTACTAAAAATCTGGGTTTTTGTAATTTGTACTTGGGTGTTTGTATTTGGGTTTTTGTAAACTGGGTTTTTCTGTGCCAACCCTGATCAAATGTCAATAGAAATTTATAGATGATGAATCGCGCGCGCATCTAAAGTTTCGTTTCTATTATTCCCGTAAGATTTATTCTTCATCCACCTTCTTTCGTATGAATATGTATTTAATAAACAATAAATATTTATTTAATATATGTATTAAAAATAAAACCATAAATATAAACGGTAAGTAATCCGAAAACATCTGTTGTACCTTGGTACAACTTTATAACTGATGCAATTTTATCCTGTTAAGCATGCCACATCTTTATTTCCTTTAACATTTCCTTGTTTAATCATGCGAGTTTATTGTCAGGCTTAATCTTTCTAGAGTTCTATTTTCCCATTAGGATACTAATATCGGAATCAGAATATCAGAGAACGCCGAAATGACGGATTCCGAAGGAATATCGATGCAACGAATATTGATCGCTGTATTTCCCATACGCACCCGTTTACCATATAGAATTTTGCTTCATACAAGAAGGGAAAGAACTGATCTCAAATTATCAAATATTAAGGAAGGATTGCACGCGCATGCCACTGTCACCAGAGCACCACCACCACCTGACTGCTTCAGAATTAGTTCGTATTTGCGCGAATATCTCACGATCTATGTAACGATACATTCTGTAAATTAATAGAAATACCCTAATCCGAATACAGCGATCATTACGATCGCAGAAAGCTCGTGATTCGAAGAGTACATGCGAAATTCGCAATTACGTTCAAGATAATTTTCATAAAATATTATATGTATATAAATATTATTAACTAATTTATTCTTATAATGATAATAATATAATTATGGTAAAATTATGTTGCAATATCATCAATGCAAGATATTATTTTAACGTCTTGGGCTGTCAATTAAAAACAAATAAATTTGGACGAAGCTCTCCTCATTCATAAAGTATGAAGTTTCTAAAAATATTCGTTATCAAAACAGTATTTAAGAGTTTTTTTTTAGAGCATTTCGCTAAAAAAATTAATTGCTATATAAATTATTAAAAGAATTTTTGAAATCATGTTCAATCATATTAATAAAATTTCCCAAAATAAGCTTCGCCAAAACTTGCAGCAAATACTAATTCTATAAATTTGACTTGCACTGTTTCATTCTAACATTTAAAAATTAATATACCCGTACATTTAAGATTAACGTTACATGCAAATAAACCATGTGTGTATGTAGTGGGATTCGCGCTATACACACGAATTAGATATTTTTACGAAGAAGTTGCCTTGAACCAGTATCGAAAGGTATTTCTTATTTTAGTATATACACAGAAGTATGCTTACAGTTAGTGCGCATAAGGAACATAATGGTGGCTTTGATCAAGTTATTAAAAAAAGGAATGTTGATGATTGTCGGCACACATACAGCACTTGGCAATGCTTACTAGTATCTACAGTTCAACCTACACCCGAGTGCCTGTACCATACATTTACATCCAAAACACCATGCACTCTGTACATTGAAGGTAAATCTCGATATAATCGGATGGAAATGAAAGAAGTCTTTTTCCCTGTTATAAAACAGGAAATGTATCATACATATATTTATCGTTAATGTTTAGAAATCTTCTCACAATAAAATTGCAAACCTGATTCCGTTTAATAATGTAAGAGTAATCAGGTCAAAGAGAAAACAATTGACAGTATTTCACAGAGTATTGTAAAAACTAATGAAGTTTTAATAGCAATATATGTTATAAAATAAAACGTGATGCCGTTTTTGTAAAATGGTAAAAAGGGTTATCGTATTTTTTTTATTATCTTTAAATATATATTTTGTCATGCTAGTAAGAACCAGGTCCACGCGAAGAAAAAATTATGATTAAGATGTGAGATATTTGTTTTCAAATACTCGTTTTGTAAAGTAATAGTAAATAAACGTTTCCACTGTGTAAATCTTATACTATCATTGTCTTTGGATTTAACCCTAATCTTTTTCTCTAATTATCATTTGTGTGCGTGTATAAGTAATGCAAAAGCTGCATAGCTACCAAACCGTACAGTTTGATGTGAAAACGCAATCAACTAACTACCCCTCAAACTTAATAGATCATAATATCACAATAAAAAGGAATCCTGTCATCCTTCTTATTGTAATACAAAATAATTGTTACAGAATCTTAATTCATGAAACCAAGTAACTCCTACGATACTAATGTTTCATGTATCAAGATGTTTAAAGTTTTGTTTTGGTTTTGTACCCACAGTACATGCAATTAATCCATCACCACTGAAGTTAGAATGCAGGTTTGTGTACAGAGCAGTTTATAATTGAAACTAATGTATAAAATTTTCTTATATATTACTATCCAAAATATCAGGTAGATGCATATTTTTAAATATTAAAAGATTGCAAACGTATGAAGTATGTGGATCATGTGGATACAAAACTTAGAAGTTTGTTGTATTGCCATTATACTGTCACACTATATTACTGTTACTTTATGATACTTTAAATAATTTCTTGAATAATAATAGAGACGATTAAATATCAAATTTAAATAAAGATAATTTGCTGCTCCAATATATTACAATCACCAATTTGCGATTTAATAATTTATTTTTTACATTATAGCTTAAATTAAAAATTAATTTTTAAACTCTGATTTAAAGGAATAATTTAAATAATCTATGATTAAATATAATTAATAATTCGTTGAATCTATTGCAATTTCACGTCGTAATTATGTTGTAATGGCAAAACAACATATCATACAATTTATAGATAATAACAAGAGGATAGATAATGACTTACCCTGTACCGCATCCTGTGTTGCTCTCTCTCCCGAAGTACTTGGTTTAGATAGTAGATGTCCTAACAGACAAAAAAAATCATCAAACTGTGCAAAAACTGACAATTAATCAAGATAAATAAGATAAATAAGATTGAAAATTATCAAGATTAATTAGGTAAAAAATAATTTAGCAAATTCTAGAAGTTATCACATATGAAGATACTTACCAACATCTGATTGATGTTTGCTGTCCAAACCGTCCGATTGACTTGTGTAAAATGTTTGACTGATGTCGACCTTCTGTTCGTGATCAGGCGTGGTCGACGACGTATCGTCTATAGTAATCTTATTCAGTGCATTGTCGCCTATACTCTGATCTTCATAACTACAACTGCTACCATCTTGTTCCAAGTATTCCGGCATCTCCAGCTTTAAGTTCGGCATGAGGGGAATTATTTCAACTGGATCAGAACCCGGCCCTGTCTGATTTTCCGCCGTTTTCCCATCAGAATCCTTCGCGTTGATCGCTGAATTCTTCTCCGCGTTCACATTCATATTTTCTCGAATTTTTCTCCTTTTATTTGGTGGCACTTCGGGTTGTAATTCAACGGCATGGTATGGCATCGGAGACGATGGGGACTTGTTCCTCTTATTATCCCCCATGGATTTACCAGAAGTGTTCTGCAGTTGAACTTCAGGCTCGTTGGGAATTTCTATGTCATCCTTAAAAGTAACATGACACATAAATAAGATGCTAAATTATACAGTGCTAAAGTAGTTAGCTATCAAAAAACCAGGTTAGATTTCTAAATTTGTTATCCTATACGGTACTAGAATTTTACTTGAGATCAATATTTCTGGAATTATAAATTATTTTATATACTAATAACTCACTTCTACTAGAGTGTCATCCTTTCCTGTGCCATCTGTAAGACCTTGTACTGCCAAGAGTTCTGCCGTTGTGAGAAAACTTGCTAGTTGCTCTTGAATAACATTCACTTCGCCTTGGTACATGAAATCTACCAAGGCAGCCAAGTCGTCAAATTTTACATTGCGAAATATTATGATGGGATGCTGGCACGGATTTTCCTATATAACAAATAATTGTTACAAAAATGTTTCTATTTAAACACATAATAAATCAACTAGAAATGTATACATTTACCTTAAATAAATCTCTAAAATATGTACTACATGCTGACAATAGCATTTTGTGTGCTCTGATTTTTTTGCCTTCGCAGCTCAAAGTAACATCTACGAGATCTTCATCTGACCTCAATGTTTCAAAAGCACAAGTAATGTGTTTTAAATAATTGTTCCATCTAAGAGAAAACTGTTGACTGGAACCCATTCTGCTTCCTTACATATAAAGAGATAAATTTATATATTAGATTATGTTCATAACTTGATAATGTTCATAACATAAAAATTTATATCATGACTGATTTAAATAAAAATATATAAAACTTTATTAAATGAATTGAAAGACTTACTGCAACAATGGATTAACAAACATTTTATAAAAATGTAATAAATAAACTCCAAAGTTAGTGATGAAAAAAATACTAGTATTATATGTTTAGCTATATTGTTGTGGCTCTACCATTGCAGCAAATCCTTCAAATAATCAGCAATATGCAATTATTGCATTTACAACACAATTATCTTTATTCCACATTTATCATAACATTGACATTATTAGAAAACTACATATAAAAAAAGCTAAATACTTAGAAAAACAAAAATGTACAAGCATGTTATATTTCAGCAATCTTTTTTCTTCTTTTTTTTCTTCCTTCAAAAAATGTAACACAAGGTACAGATATCGTTGTGTAAAAAAAAAAAGACTCGGGCAAGTGAACATAAATCAAACAGTATCTGAAAGGTTATCTAGAATACTATTGCTATCCGATAAAAGTTTACCTTAATTGCCCTGAGGAGTGTAAAACAAGCGAATCGAGAGAACTCCCAAGGGAAGGCCGTGTATCGCGGGGCAAGGAGTATCGGGAGAGCCCCGCGACTGCGACTACTGCGAGACCGATTCGCAAACGGATCGAAGTGGAGAAGGAGGAGGAGGAGGAGGCGGCTGCGGTGGACGACTCCGAACTCGGTCGCGTTACGGTGGCGTTACCGCGGTCGCGCGGGCAACAGACTAGCCACGCACTTCACGTGAAATAGGAATTGTAAACAGCCAAGCTAGCCGCACTCTCATGGAATTGTGGAAGCAACACCGTCGGGGGGGGCGCCGTCGCGCCGTACACTTTCTCTCGTTCCCCGCTCTTTTTTTCTCTTTCCTCTACTTTGTCGCTCGCTCGCTCGCTCATTCGTTCCCTCTCTTTTTCCCTCACTCACGACGATCCCGGGTGATCTTAGCCAACGAGCCGCAAAAGTACATCGCAACCCCGCGGTATGCTACACACTTCGAGAAACCGTTCCGTGACGAATCCGCGTCGTGTTCCTTCACAACAAGCTACACTTCACAAGCGAGTGACAGCTGGCGGCCATTTTCAGTACGGTAATACGTGTATGGGACTATGGGATGTGCGAAGAGAAGCCCGACCACCCTCCTTCCTGACCCCTTCCATAGCGGCGGCGCGACGAGCGCGATTCGTGTAACGTCACGTGGTATGAGCAGGAGCACGATTATTGGCCAACGCGGACGATGCGCGGATTCACTACGTTGCGTTGGAGCGCGAATTTTAAAGCTCTAGTATACTAATGTGGGGTCTACAATAGAAGTCGTAGCGGTCGTATAGTCTTAAGTCGTAAAAAATTAACCAATCGCAATCGAATATGAGAAGAATAATCGACTATGATTGGTCAATTCTCTACGACTTAAGACCCTACGATCGCTACGACTTCTATTGTAGACCCCGCATAAGGGCTGGATTCACCAATGCCGATCAAGCTTAATCGTGATTAACTGTCAACCGCAATTGGTCAATTCTACTAAACAGCAAACGTGATTGGTCAGTCAACGACCGATTAAGCTAAGTGGCGTTGGTGAAACTGGCCCTAAAGTAGTGCAAGATCCTCCATTTTCGACTTATGCCCGTATTCATAGGTTGCGTTCAGCGAATTCAACAGTTGAATGAGCGCTCGCTACTATTAACGTATTTTTTCAGATCTAAAATGCTGATTGGATGATCTAAAAGAATACACCAATAACAGCGAGCGTTTACTCAACTGTTGAGTCCGCTGAATGCAACCATATGCTGGATTCACACTACATCCGATGTGCATCGTACGACGCTCTGCAACCAAT